GGGCCCCTTTCCCAGAGAGTAGTTGAACAGAAATAATGTAGCCATCTTTCAGTGCAGACAATCAGAAATAGAGTAAGAGAGTGAATTAGAACACGCTCCAGTCTTCTTCCAAATCTACAGTCCAAGCCTACTACTATATCTTTTCTAGACTCCTCTCCTAGGTTTGCCTATCTACAATAAGCTGATCTGCTACCCTAAATCAGCAAAGAATTGAGAGTGCCTTCATATTTACTCACTGGATGAGTCACCTTTCCGTTCCTGTAACAAAAAAACCTGAGATAATAAATTTATAAAGGCAAATTATTATTTTAGCTCACAGTCACAGAGTTTTGAGTCTGTAATTGGACTCAAATTTGGGGGAGAGGTGTTGGGTCTGCAGCGAGAGCTAAGCACATCATGGTAGGCTGTGTGACAGAGTACAACTGCTCACTCCATGGCCAGGAAACAAGAGAAAGAAGAAGGGTCTGAGGTCCCAGGATTCCCTCTAAGGTACGCCCCTGATGACTTAAAGATTTCACACCAGACTTCACCTCTTAAAGGTTCTACCATCTTCCAATAGTTCCACTTTGGGGAAGACATACTTAACAGAGGGGCCTCTGAGGATATCTGAGATCCAGACTGTCACATTCATTGTGGCCAAAAGCCATAAAGGGTGAATCAGAAACTTCAAGCTGGAAGGAATGACTTCTACCCATTCCATGTCTCCAAAACTGAATGGGACAAGAACACAGCAGGCATCTGTGTTTCATCTGACATGAGCAGGGTCACCGTCTTCTGTGACTTCATCCTGAAGTTGGGATTGGTCTTTTTCCCTTGCTCTGAATAAAGATCAAGCAGATTAATGCCCATTCTCCAATCTGTAATAATGTCTTCTGAGAAAGATGGTTGCCCAACAAGGTTCATTTCTCCTTTGGCCTCTTCCTTGATGTGTTCACGTGTTTGATAGAACTCAGGAAAGGCTTTTTGAGAAAACCTAGACGAAGCCACCCGGGTTTCAAGATGTAATTTGGAACTTGCCTGCTGCATGCAAGTTAAGGAGAAAAAAATAAAGGTAACCAGAAAAGCACAAAATTGAATATATGAAAAATACAATGTTTCAGACTTCATAATTGCATTCAGATAGGAACATGTATGCTTTCCAAGAATAACAACCTGCTATAGTTAGTTTAAGACTTCTTTCAGAAGTAATTTATACTCATCTCTGGTATCAACCTTAGCAATCAGTACTAAGCAAAACGCATTGCTTAAGCATATTCTCTTTGTTTGGAATGGAGAATATGTTTTCACTAGCATTGTACTGCTGACACCAGACAGCCTAGGTTCAAATCCTAGATTGGCTTCTACTGGTTTGTAACCATGAGCTGGTCACTTCAGCTCTATGCACTTGTCATCCCTTATCTGTAAAATGGGGGTGATGCTCGTGTCTCTGGACTACAGTATTGTGAGGATAACATAAGTGAATGCACTTATAGTGCAAGCAAAGCAGCCCCTGGTACATAGTTAAAGCTCAATGAATGCTTATAGTTACTGTCCCTATTGCTTTAAAATGGCAAGTGGGCAGGCTGGGATTTAGCTCAATGGTGCCACCACCTGCCTTGCAATCTCAAGGTCCCGAGTTCTGAACCTTTACAAAGAGTTTGAGTGGTGAAGGAGCTATGCTTCTAGTGAAAGTACCAAATACCTGAGGAAGAAGTGAAAATGTATGAACTTGGACTCCTGCACCTCTGTTCAAAGTAGTTCAAAGCCAGTAAGAAAAACACATGGCCTGACTGGAGGGCAATTTCTAGGCAAATTATCTCAGTTAGCCTCAATGGATCATTTATCCTATTTCTACTGTGAAAACCAATGTCAGGACATAGTATACCAAATGTTTGAGTGAGTAAAGTTAAGTGCTAGTGGGGCTACTTATCTTGTAACTTGAAATTTATAAATTCTTTTAGCCTTTGCTTTGAAGGTTGCTTCTGAAATCTGACAACAACTCATGTGATGATTTTCTTAATATGTGGATTATTTTTATTTTTTTGTTTCTCTTGCAGTACCAGGGATTGAACTTGGGACCCTGTGCTTTCGAGGAAGGCCACAACACCACTGAGCTAAATCCCTGGCCCTCATGGATATGTTTTTAAAAGAGGAGAGTAAGACCTGCTTTCAGTATCTATCTCTTCACTAATTTTACATGGTTTTACTTAGCCTATTATTAAACAACTTATAGACTTTAAATTCATATGAGTGTTCAGAACTGTGTTACCTTTGCAAGAGCAGGAAAATGGAGATTCATGTTTAATATAAAAATTAGCTATTAAAGGGTACAGAGTTTCAGCTTTTAAAAATGAGCAAATCTTAGAGATCTGTATACCATGCACCTGTAGTTAATACTTACTAAATTCTTAAAATTGTGCTAATTGTATAGATCTTATATGTTCTTATCACAGAATAATAATAAAGAGGGTAAGAGGAAGATTTTAGAGGGATGGATATGTTTATGGTCTAATGTGGTGATGGTTTTATAGGTATGTGCTTACCGCCAAACTCCTCCAGCTGTATACATTAAATACTCATAGCTTTTTGTATTTCATTCATGCCTCAATAAGGTGGTTTTGGGTGCTGTTCTGCATTCTTTATACCTATATACATTTATACATAAAAACACATTCATACGTACAGGGTCCACCAAAAACTGTATACACACTTCAGGAAATGGAAAATAGTACGATGCTTTTTCAGCAGATAGTGTTACCCTCACATGGGGGACCCTAAAGGATTTCATACATCACAGAAAGCCCACTGCATTGCCAATCCTTAGACAAGAAATTGGTGGCATACACCTATAATCTCAGCACTTGGGAGGCGGAGGACAGAGGACCACTGTGAGCTCAAGGCCAGCCTGAACCACATAGCGAGACTCTCGAAAACTCTGAAAAATAGAAGATATCTCCCATTCCCAAAGTATAAAGACCAAAATAAATAAATATATTATTTTGAAGATAGAATATTTCAGCCCCTCAAGAAATTGATTGGTTATTACAATGTATGTCCTCTCTTCTTTATTCATTTTATTCATGCTTAAATGTTAGCTCTTTCTTGCCTGGGCTCATGTCATCCTGGTAATGCCATGACCAATGTAGCCGTGGTAGCCAGCACAAACACAGTTTTTTCTCCCAGCCTACTCCCTACAAGGTTACTTAGCACGTATCACCTTCCCAGCTGTCATAGCTGCCAAAATCACTCAATCTTTGACCAATGAAAACACTGAAACTCACCTTTGCCATCCCTGTTATCAGTTCCTTCGCCATTTATTCATTGACTATTGGATGGACCAATACGATTGAGTCTTTTTAGGAGCATCGCCACCTACAGGGCACCAATTTTGGTATGAGCCAGGAAAAGTCACATTAAATACTGTGACAAACACCCCCATCTCAGTGACTCATAAATAGGTCTTGTTAAGTACCCACTACATACTGCAATGCCTAACAATATTTGTCAAATATAAGCATTGATAGAGGTAGATGGGTAGAAGACAGAGATAGATAGATGATAGATACATACATACATACATACATACATACATACATACATAGCTGCAAATAGGTTGTTTTAAAATGGTTCACTTAATTTTTCACCATTAAGGAAATCAAAGTTCAAAGAAATGGAGGAATACGTCCAAAGTCACATACTGGAATGACAGATCCAGGATCTCAGCCCAGGTCTGTGACACCACATGCACTTACACCTGCACAATTCCCCTAGTAGAACTCACAGAAAAGAAATCCTAAAGCCTGACAACTTCCCTGTAGGGTTAGATCTTTTCTCTCTTTCTACTATTTCAGTCAGAGTTATTACCCTCTATCCATTGCAGAATAGTCACGTTAGGTGATTCAAAAATCTATAGCTTCTGAAATGAGGTTTTTGTCCCAAAACTTCTTTGCATAACTTTACAGAATGACTATACTTAATGGCTTTAGCCTTTGTCGATATTTCCATTGTTTACTACTGAATGATCTATTTACTTAATTAATGCTTTCTAGTTACTTAAAGGATTTTGTTACATAGCTATTCTTTAAGTCTAAAAGCATACATTGTACTGTTTTTACTTTTATACATGCTTTATATATATGCAAATTTAAATTGTTAAAACCTGTTGATTTGTTTGAAATAAACTATACACTTCATTCATTCAGTATTTATTAAGTACCTTTGTCTATTAGGTACTGAGCAAGTCCTATTCTGAGAATAATTTTTTAAATTGACAAAATAATTTTTAAATTGACAAAATGTTTTTTAAATTGACATTTTCATCTAAGCACAGTAAGTTGGCTGTAAATTGAATTCACAAGTTCTCGTGTGTGTGTGTGTGTATGTGTGTGAAAGAGAGAGAGAGAGAGAAAGAGAATAGTAGCAGTTGGAGAAGGGATGAAAGTAGTAAAATTTATAAAAGACCTATAGACTAAAATGTCAGAAGATTTATGCAGATTGCAGACTAAAATGTCAGAGGACTTATCCAACTACACAGACAGAACTTGCAAGATAAATATCCTTGCTAAAATTTATGATTCACATGTAAAATAAAGCTTAAGGAAGACCACAACACAAATAACTTCACTTTCAATATTTTCCCATTTTATAAAAAATCATCTACTGTTATTTTAAGCTATCACACCAATAAATGAGGAACAAGTTGCACACAAATAATTCTGTTTTGCCAAAACAATGCATAAAAACAATTTCACTAATAGCCCTGTCCTGTAAGTTGAGGCATAAACTTTCCTAAGTGCTCTTTTTGCTTCCGGCAAGAGGATGCCATTTGGTCTTTAGGTATCACTTTAAAAGGCAAAAGCAGCTCTGAGTAACATGGTGTGACAAGCAGTGAATAAAAGAGAGAAAGAATTATTATGATACCTGAGACACTTGCTTTCCATATGCCTGTCTGAGGTTTGCCGAAGGACATTGCCCACTCCTAACGAGTGTATATATTAAGCTCTTTGAAATGCGAGTATTATGGAAAGGATCACAGTTGCTTTAAATTATAGAAGTTGGCAAGTGCCTGGAAGAAGGAGTGGGAGGTTGTTTAAACTGAGAAAGACAGTTGCAAAACTTCGTACAACAGCATGAGCTCTGAGCTTCAAAAACATTCTCGTGCTCAGGCGAGCACTTTATTTTTCATCGAATTGGTTTTTTGCATTGTGCTGAAACAGCTTGGAACAACATTCATATTCCTGCTTTAAATTTTTTAATGGTTTCTACATTCATGGGACAACCAAACCGAGAAAGCCTCATGTTTTGGAGAAAAGTTTGATACCAGCAATGCCCAGACAAGGTAAGCTACTATTTTCGTTGCAGTTTTTCTCTTTTTCTCTCCTGTTTGGACTTTGTCAAAATATTTACTGAAAGAACTTAATACAGTTACTTGTAAAGAAAGGGATGAACTTGGGGAAGAATGTCAATAAATGATAAATCAAGGGCTAGAAATCCTGCGCAGCAGTGCTTTCTCCTACTTTCTATTCTGTTTGATGCAAGAATCTCTGTGAAATATCTTTGACTATTTGGAAAATGCCTTTCCTCTTTGAAAATGCAGGGGCTTTTCAAAATCTCCAATATGATGAACCTAGCTTTCTTTCATCTGTGTACTGGTGGGCAAATTTGTTGCCAAAGTAAGGATAATTGTGTTTTCCTATTTCGTTATTTTCAACTCAACTTGCAGAGCTATGATTTTTCTAACTCAAAAACTGTTCCCATAGATTTTAATAACATTCCAAAACTCTCTTAATCATGGTCACTGTGGTTTACTATCAGCTTGTTTGGTAGAATATGTTTGTTGAAGTTAAATAAATCGTTTGATCTTTCCTCGTAATAATGCAGAGGCTACACACAGGATGTTATGCATCCTTAGGGGAAAAAACAATTAGACTCAACATTCCTTAATTCAAGTCACAATTTGCAGACAGTGTTGTTATCTTGGGAGAGTGACTGCCTTGTCGATTGTGCCTCTTGCACAGGTAGGGAGCAGAGACTCTAAGATATTTCCTTGTTTTTGTGGGTATTAGTCCTATGGAAAGCATCTTATAGTGTAAGTGTATAGTGCGACGCTTCTCTTTCCCTGAAAAGTTCTGTTATCAATGTTCCCATCTTCCCAAGGCAAAATTCCAGGTGCAAAAAAACCAGATATCCATTGAGATCCACAAAGTCTTCCTGCAGTCTAAGAGTTTTAACAGAGCCCACATTCATTCCTGCACGCACACTTGTGTGCTCTCCAGCAGAGGTTAAACATCACTGTGTGTTTGATTGAGCTCGAGTGGTTTGGGACACAGAGGTGACCTCAGTCTGCAAAACCTACTGATAGGGAAACATTTGTGATCCAACCATTAGGCCTGGGAGGAATGTGAGGCGCTGCCCACAGATGCTGCTTTCCAGCTAAGAAGCCCTCTACCTTTGCGCTATACCAGCTGTTGCTCTGTTTCTGGAATATTTCCTCCTCTGTCCAATTCTAGTTACATAAGGTGGCTTACAGTGTCTTCCTCTACCTCGTGGTCTCAATGATTACTGTCAGAAGAAGGATGTTCTTGTAAAGAAAATGAGACCGCAGCTCTATCAGCTCATTGCAAGACAACTGAAGCATGTTCTTCCTTTGCTGTCTCTCTCCATCTGGTTGTCGGTGGAGTAAGCGACGGTGCTAATCCATTGTTCTTCTCCCTGCCATTTCTCCTCTGTCCCTCTTTTCCCCCTTCCATTTCTAGCCACTCCAGCCCACAGAACATTCTGAGAAGAGCCGAGGGCTGGACAGGCCATCTTTTCGGCCAGTAGAGGAAGCCCCCACCCTATTCGGAGCAGGGTCTCGGGGCCCCACCCATGACTTCATCTCAGGCAGCGGGAGAACTGGGACGGCCGGCAGTTGTGTGGCGCCTGAGTGTACCCTGGGGATGGGTGCGGCCTAGAAATGCGCAGTGTGGCGTGACGTGGTTTCCCATCGTGAGCTCCCACGGAGGCTGGCGGCATCTCTGAAAGCCATACCCACCCGCCAGGCCCCACCCGAGAGCCCAGAAGGGCCCCAAGAAGGACAAAAACAAAAAGGCAATTAGGGTTGCTAACGAAGCCCCAAGCCAGCTGACTCACCCGTCACTGGTCACTTGGGGGGCTTTGTGATGAAACCTGGACAGCGCCCTGGAAAGGACAGGTCAGGAATGTCTCAGAAAGGGTGCTGATGGGCCCAATGTGACCTCAGCAAGGCATCCTGGCCGCAGAGAGGCCCAGGGAGAGGTCTCCTCTGCAAGGGTCAGGTGAGGAGAGTGTTAACTACAGAGCTCCTGGGAGGCTCGTGGCCTTTTTCTGGCTGGCTTTGGGTGAGCACCAGGCTGAGCCCAGGTTGGGGCCACAGACACTGGCCCCAAGTCTGTGCACAGTCCCTGACACACCGGGCTGAGATCCATGCTGAGGAACTAGGAAAGGGACTCGATCTTACTTCAGTCAGCCTTCGCCAAGAGTCCCTTTGGTGCCAGACGCTCTAGCAAGGCTCTTTGAACCTGGCCTTGATAAAGAAAAGCCAGACATTAACGGCAATGCAGAAAGTACTGACAACACCAAGGAATGCTGTGCCTATCAGCCTGCTCGAATCAAAGAAAACTTCCCACTGAGTTGCATTTGAATGAGATCTTGGAAGATGAGTGCTTAGTATGAGAGCCAAGAAAGGACAGGGGGATCCAGGCAGAGGGTGGCATTCAAAGGCAGAGGTGCAGGGTCACTGCTACTCTCATAAACCAGAGGCATTAGGATGGCGAGGCTCTGTTTCCCAGAGTGAGTTCCCAGGCACCTGAGTTTCGGGGGTAATGAAAGAGTAACTATGAGTACTTCCTAGTCAAGCAGTTGTGGGAATGTGAGAAGCTGGGCACTATAGCGGATCAGAGTCCTGGCTCTGAGCTCACAAAGGTGACTTCAAGGACCAGCTCCACCCTTACCTGCCTTGTGAGCATGGGCCCAGTCAAGTGTTCACTTCTCCACCTGTTAGGTGAGGGTAGCAAACCTGTCCATCTCCTGGGGACATCCTGAGGACTAAATTAGAATCCAAATTACTATCAAAGTGCCTGGCACCTTAATGAATGCCAGCCAACATTAGCTATTCGCACCGGTTCCTTTGCAGCAGGACCTCACACACTTAGATCATTAACACTCTGACACTCCATGAGTGGTGATTAGAATCTGATGTTCTCCAAACTCCAGGAAATCAGTTTTCCTCCCAAAGAGTAGCACACAGATCATGGGTGTCTTATGGAGAAGTGAGACTTAGTTGGTCTGTTGCATTGAGACCATATGTCCTTAAAAAGTTCAAAGTCTTCCAAGACTTAATTGAAATGTACCAATTTTCACCAAGCGCCTCACAAATTATTTTCCATATTTCTAAGCACCAAAAGCCCAACAATTTGAATTCTCACATCTTAAAAAAAAATCAACTTTTTAAAAACTCCTTTCAACTTTTAGGATAAAAGAGAAAATTGACAGCAAAGTAAGATTTTGGCAGTAATTCCACACTTGAAAAATCAGCCTTTGCCTTCAGTTTAAGGACCTACTCTGTAGATGAAAATGCAAAAGAGACTCCAGAAGAAAACATGATCCTACTTGCAAGGAGTTATCAATTGAATGGGGGAAAAAAACATGCAGTCTAATATTATATAATGTAAAATTAGCTATTATAAGATATAGTGGAAGAGATGTTCAAAGCAAAGAA